CAAACACACGTGTTTATGTGTGTGTGTGTGTGTGTGTGTGTGTGTGTGTGTGTGTGAGTGTGTGTGTGTGTGTGTTTGTGTGAAAGTGTGTGTGAGTGTGTGTGTGAGTGTGTGTGTGTGAGTGTGAGTGTGTGCGTGTGAGTGTGTGTGTGTGTGTGCAGGTTAACGGGCGTCTGACGCTGGGCGAGAACATCGCTGATCTGGGTGGACTGAAGTTGTCTTATTATGTGAGTTTCATCAGAATCACAATGTCGGTCTGTTCCAACTCGAAATTACAAAATTTAACAAAACTTGAAAACTTGTATGAAAATCCACAATGAGCAATGTTCCTGTTTTTGGCTATAAACTCTCACTTTTAGGCAAATAAAAACCATTAATAAGTTAAAGTTTCTATATTAAACGATAATTAAATATTTAGCGATTTTTGCCTAGACAAAAATCACCTTTATTTCTATTGCACTTCATAAACACTGCAAATATTGATTTCTTCCTTAGTATTTTTGTCTTGTTTTCCTGTACAAAAATCCTCTAAACATTCTTAAATCAAATATACATTTACTTGAGATGCAAAATGACTTAAGATATTATGTCTTATTTCACGAAAAATGTATAAAACCAAGACAATCAGCATGTTATTGCTGAAGTGAAAGCATTTCAAAAAATGAAAAGGTAAAAAAGGTATAGAAGTTTAAATTTACTGTAAAAAATGTACTGTACTAAAAATATAAAAAATACTAAAATATTTAAATAAATACTTTAGAAAATATTTTTGAATCTAAAATTTCGACAAAATCAAAGCCATATGCATATTTAAGTTATGTTCCAAATTTGAAGTTGATATCACAAAAATTTGAGATTTTAAGTGCTATACCAAAAATAGCCACCAGGTGGCTCCCAAACTCCACTGATTTTTTCACATTGCATAACATCATTCAATCATCTATGAATGTTGATTTGTGCCGGTCTGCAGGCATATCAGAAGTGGGTTCGTGAACACGGGCCGGAGCGTCCTCTGCCGGGACTCAAATACACACACGAGCAGCTCTTCTTCATCGCGTTTGCTCAGGTAAAGCAGATTAGTTAATTCAGCATTAGTTAATACTGCTTCAGTGATATTCAGCTGCTCTGAAATGTTTTCTACACGTTTGCATCGCAGAACTGGTGTATGAAGAGACGATCGCAGTCGATTTACCTGCAGCTGCTGACGGATAAACACGCGCCTGAACATTACAGGTACAACACACAGCTTAATTAATACTCCTCGTTAGAAGCGTTTACTAAGTCAAACATAATTATTACTACCCCAGCTCTATCTAGAGACCGATTTGTTGGTAACTACAGTATATCGACTTTCTTTGTGTTGTTATTGTTTTGCATAATGCTTAACAGATCATTAATTCTGTACATTGAAATTATTAGAAATATTGTTACATTTATAAGGCTGTACCAAATTAAAACAGACAAAATAATCAAAGCAGAAATAAATAAAAGCAAGTAAATAATTACATAACCAAATAAATAAATTAGTGTAATTAAGGCGCGTTTATATCAATTCATAAATACATAGATTAATTCACTTATTTTAAATTATTCATCCTTGTATATCTGATACTGAAATATGACCAGCGTTATTTCAATATCACTGAGACAATATTATAGTTTTTATTAATATTTTAAATTTATATAATATTTTCTATTTTTTAATTTAGTTCAAGTTCTATATTTTTTGTGTGTTTTGTCATTATTATTATTATTAATGTTAATGGTTATGTCTATATAGTTTTTATTTAGAAATATTAATTTTATTTCAGTTTTAATTTTGGTTATTTTAGTACATCAAAATTCACTTATTTTAAAATAATTTATCCTTGTATATTTGATACTGAAATATGACCAGTGTTATTTTAGTATCACTGAGATATTATAGTTTTTTTTTCCAATATTTTAAATTGTTTTTTATTTTAATATTTTCAATTTTTCATTTTTAAATTGAGTTAAAGTTCTAGATTTTTTGGTGTGTTTTTGTCATTTATATTATTATTATTATTATTTTAATATTATCATCATCATTATAATTTATTTTTTAAATAATTTTAGTAAATATTAATGTAATTAATTAATTAATTAATTAATATTTATTATTATTTTTAATATGCCTATATAGTTGTTATTACTTTTTAAACTAAATTAGTCTTAACTAAGTCTGTCTGCAGGGTGATGGGCAGCGTGTCTCAGTTCGAGGAGTTCGGCCGTGTGTTTCACTGTCCCAGAGGGTCGCCCATGCATCCGGTCAACAAATGCGCCGTCTGGTGAACTTTGACCCCTGAGCGTCTCCTCATCAGCCCCGTTTCCATGACGAACCGCCCCGAGCTGCTCCGACGCCACTTGATGTTTACAGCATTTGAAGAGTGATCAGAAATCAACCTCGTCCTCATCGTCACGTGCCATTTTTCAGGCGGATCTTTCTTTGAAATGTTTATTTTTATATTCGGATGCAGAGCGTGGCTGATGTTTGTACGGCGAGTCAGGTGTGACTGTGAGGATGAGGTGTGTGTGAGCCGCTGTACATGTTTTGTCAGACATGTTTAGTGTTTTTTTAAGTAGAAACGGCTGCTGAACTGACTGTTGTCAGCCTGACAGAGGAGAAAAATCAAAAATACAGTGATTTCACATTGCCCCTGTGTCGATTCTGTGGAAACCTGTGTCTGCCATGGAAAAAATATGCATAAAAATGTAATTACGACTTTTTATCTCACAATTATGCCTTTTTTCTCTTGAATTGCAAGTTTATATCTTGCAATTCCAAGTCACATACTCACAATTCTGATTTTACACCTTTTTCTCGCAATTCAGACGTTTTTCTCATAATTCTGACTTTTTCTCGCAATTCTGACTTTTTCCGCAATTCTGACTTTTTCTCGCAATTTTGACTTTTTTTCCGCAATTCTGACTTTTTCTGCAATTCTGACTTTTTTTTCCCGCAATTCTGACTTTTTCCGCAATTCTGACTTTTTTCTAGCAATTCTGACTTTTTTTTCCACAATTCTGACTTTTTCTGCAATTCTGAC